ACTTTTTAATCATAGCGAGAATAAAAGTAATTTAAAACATTTGGCGCAGCAAGAGCTACATTTTTCTTAAGGTATTTGCACTTATATCCGAGTAAGTTTATTATAAGACCTTTTCTACGTATCTATGCTAGTACTTTCACTGACTTTTAATACGCACTTTAAAATACCTCTAGCGAAAATTCAGGAATGTACTCCAAGATGCAACATATCTGCATTTCCAACACTAAGGTCAAATAATAATAATACGAAAAAGCAAGTGTCAAGTAAATAGTAGTATATTTAGTAAACTAGTAGCATAAAATATTGTAATAATAATTATAATTAATTATGGAAAATGAATTAAGAATTAAGCTCGAAAACTTATTATTAAAAATTATTTATAAGCACCAATAATTTAAATCTATTTATTTACGTATTGTCCTTTTCCCTTTTCATATGAAAGATTTTGTTCTCTAATCGTAAATTTAATCGGATACATCGGTTAGTCGTTTATTTGCCGCATTTTCTGAAAATGAATAAATATTGTTGATATTATAATTATTTACTCGAGTGAAAATTAAATTATCAAAATGAAGAAAAAAATTTTTTGAAATAACATATTAACTCTGAATTTTGGTTTCAAAGAAATTTAAGCACATGGAGTGGTGATTCTTTTATTTTTAAGAGCCAGTGAAAAAAATTTCACGAAACTGTGGCGAAGATTTACGTCTCCGGTCAATTAAAAAAAATAGCACTACTGATTTATAAATGATTTTTGCAGCTTTCTTTCTTTATTAATATTATTATTAATATTGTTATTATTGTTTTATTTATTTTGTTTTTTTTTGTTTTTTTTTTTGATTTTTCTTCATTGTCAAATATATTATTGTTGATATCTATAGCGTTTATGTCGCCATAAACGTAATATCTTCACGACGCTCTATTTATTTGTGAAGCCCATGTGAAATTTTTATATTCACATGTTATTGAGATGTCACAAATTGAGACGCATGTAAATATAAAAATAGACGGTATCTAAATAATAAGCAGCCGTTTATCGAATTTGTGCAAACTGCTATCTGCCATGCGCATTGTTTGGCATTTAATGGGAATTTACTGGGTTGATTTATTTTTCCGTCATTCGGTTCAACTTTTATTTAAGTTCCCTTCATTCAAACGATTTTAATCAAATATATATATATATATATATATATATATATATATAAGATGAATGTATAAGCTCAAGATTATGTAAGACAGCGTGACTTTTATTTTTATATTTAAAGTCTTATTTAATTTGTATATTTACACTGTGGGCCTAGAAACAAATGGCTTTTAATTGACAAGAAATAATGAAAAACTTTGGAAAATTTTGAAATAAGAAGAAGAAGAATAATATTCAATAACGAGTAATTTGGATTATGAAAAAATACAAACTTTAAAAGGAAACGAGAAAATACTTTATCATTTGCTTATTCATCGAAAAAGTCTTGTAACGGCTATTTTTATGTCGACCTTATCATTACCAAGTGATAATAACGCGTAAGAAGAAAAATTACTCGTTAGAATATCCGATGAAAATCGTGAAACAACTCGTTAAATAAATAGATGCGATTCATTTTTCTAAACAAAAAAAAAAAAAAAAAAAGAAAAAAAGAAAGAAAAAAAAGTCCGGAGGTAGAGCACTCGGCAAGCACTCAACCCAAACTAGAATTCAGTCTTACACACAGGCATACGTATATACGTTTACTCCCTTAAGCATTATTTGTAACATGCATAGTACAGTTAGAGGAGTAGACGTAGAAAGTTCGTAATTAAGGGAGCGAATGATGGTAAATTTCAAAATAACGCTTAATAAATAACAAATGTAAATGGGCAGTGAGTAGAAACTAAAGAGTTAAAATTGATCGATAGGTGGGCACATACAGTTCGAAGGTTAAAAAAAGTACGTCACGATAACAATACTCTGCTAAAGTGCTACATCGCCATGGAAATAAGAAGAAAAAGTGCGAGCTACAGCTAAAACAAGGTTTTACATGATGAATGGCCGAGTTTGATTAGTATCAACAAAGCCGACAATTGCATTGTCAAAGCCATTGCATGTGGTCACAAAGCACGATGTTCGTTCGCTCAGTTTCATAGTTGCAAACTAGTCGAGAGAGTTGCCGCTCTGACCTCTTATACTTGCGCCATAATCATCAATATTGTAGTTACTGTTTCGAGTAATAGATACGCGAGAGTTGCACTTGTATTTTAAAATTATTTTCTTTCCAAAAACCAAGTATTTGTGATGAAGCTTTCCCAAGAAACTTCCCGCTATTTATTCTGTATAAATTCCGACGTTTGACCCTTCCTCAAGCTTAAGGACTAAATTGGTCCACATAGTTCTAAAGTATTTCTTACTTGTAAAGTTTTCTACTTCTCTTATCTTTTCAAAAAAAAATTTTTTTTTTCTTCTCTCTTTTGTTATTACGTAAATCGTTATTACGCTATCTTTCCATTGAAGTTCCTGAGTAACTTATACAATTGACAATGATTTTCTCATAACAATCGACATTGATTGAATGCCAGTTAATTATAGATACGAATATATACTGAGATAAATTTTAAAATGTCCGTTCGAATATTAAGTTTGACAAGCTTTAATTTATCCGTACAAGACGAAGAAGCGCGAAACATCTTGCCCGGCACATTTTGGTTTATAAAATTTTTCTCATCATTTATAATTTCATTTTAAAAACTCGGCTGATTTATTTATTATTGTCAATTACTATAACATCTCATTAACACTCAAAATTTTCTGATAACTTTATAAAATCTCTATAAAATTAAAAATCATATAATAAATAAGTCGTTAGTTTCACTCGAGTCTCCAACCCTCTACTCGAGTCCCGACCATCTAAGAAACCAAATTAATTTCAATCAATTCAGTTTTCACACGCACATGCAATTCACGGGACTTCGTGGCAACGTCACACATCCGGCATGCTTATTATTACCTGAATTATAAGTCATTTGCTTTAAAGTAACGTTAATTGCTTTACCACCTCTTGCACGCACAGCCCTTTACCTGACTCCCGACACCTCGCAAATTTCATTCGAATGTAAAGCCCCGATTCCGGTGCTCCAAGGATCTTCGAGCATTCAAAGTTGACTGACGAAGCGCAGTCAATCCGATATTATCGGAGTAAACAAGTGGCGGTTAGATAACGAATAGGGTAATTAAACAACGCACAGAGATGAAGCAACAGTCGGGGCGCATGCGTCGTGCGATAAATCATGCGAGCGAACTTGGCGGTCTCTCCTGCCTACGGGACGCGTTCCTTCGTCACGCGCGCGCACGCGCGCACACACACACACACAGAGAGAAAGATGAAAGATATACAAAGATATACTAGAGCTGGTGTCGTCGATATAAAATCTTTGCTGGTCATTGAATGAAGAATGACTGAAAGAATGGGATTTCGAGGGCGTGGAGATCGATGGTCAATCGCGTTCGTTACGCGATGGTGTGCGCCGGCTTGGATAACGTTGTGCTGAAATTTCAGTGACGGGCATTTTGATAAGAAGTCGTATTATATTCTGCGCTGATTATAAATCGAAAGCGTTTGCTTGCTGCCACGGGCTTTTTCTGCAACGTAAGATGCTTACGAATTAAAATTTGATTCCCCTATGCATCGATAAAAATGTGCAGGTTGAAATAGGATATCGCAGACGCAGACGCAGACGCAGACGCAGACGCAGTTGATTCTATGCGTAGTTACTTTAGAGAATATATTTTCGTACAAATGTAGCATTGTATGTATTTAATGCTAATTGTATTTCAAATTAAAACTATTAAATTATATTTCTCCATTTAAATTTATCGTAATTTACTGTATTTGTGAGGTATCGAAAAAAATGTGGCGACGAATTACATTGTGTGATAAATTAATGAAATATCGCGTAGTTTGATCATAAAATCTAAATCCGTTAATTTTACATTTGATTTTATATCAATATACTTTTATCGATAGTTTTACCAACAAACAGTAATAAAGTCTACTCGGTGTAAACACTAATGAACATTAATAAACACAATGTTTTCATTTGAGATTTATATGTTATGCATTACATTAAGAAAATGGTCAAAATGTTATTATTAGTGGATATAAAATACACGTATTTGCCAACCAAATTTTTTATTTTTAGATTAATAATGATTCTAGTAGGATATTTTTCGCATCCTATTTAAATTACGTTAATAAATTGTTTAATTTAATATAACGACGATTTATTTATATTAAGAAAGTTCGTCAACTGGCTATTACTAAATAATCCAAATTCTAATTTCCTTTTTATTAATGATTGTTTATGAAGTTTTGAGATAGAATGACGAATTTTGTTTGCGATAATATTGATATTTCAAATGTCTCTTTAACTCGGTATATGATTATATATATATATATATATGTGTGTGTGTGTGTGTGTGTGTGCGTGCGTGCGTGCGTGCGTGTGTATGTGTGTGTATATATATATATATATATATATATATATGTATTAAGGGGTCGATTAAAAATTCTTGTTCTAATTCTGTTTTAAATTTTTGTCACATTGTGATGTGTCGCCGTCGCGTTATTTGCAGACACTTCCGTCATTGACATAAGTAATCAAGCAATATTTATGTAAATCTTATAAAGCTTCTGATATCACTTATCGAACCCATCATATTTATTCATTTATATTTATCGATTTAAAGCCACCTCCATTCTTCAACCTCTCGGCCTATTGAGTAAACTTTGCACAACTTACGTAAACGAGGTCTAATTAGCAATTTCTCAAACAGGGGCATTAGCGTTAAGTATTGCTGATTTATTTTCAATTGTAATTAAAGACAGTCGACGCGTGAAACTAAAGGTAGCAAAAACCACATACACGTCCGTCGCTGGTGAATGAACTCTCGGGGGCCCGACTTATGTATCACTCTTTCGCCATGGCACTCGATCACTTTCGCAAACGCTTTTGTATTCCAGTTAACTCACTTGGCAGCGTTTGTGCCGGCTGAGGCGCTTAGGACTTGGTGGCGCTCCATCGTAATTCAGTCATCTGCGCAGAAATTTATTTTTCATCGCTTGTGCTTTTGTTCCTTCGCCGTTAGATGATACGTGAAATTTGAATGGTGCCAAGCTCTCTTTCAATTGCTAGCTTCATCTTCCTTATGGAGTGCTGACATTCCGTTATCCAAAAATTCTTTATGTGAAAAGATACAGAGTGCAAATATGCAAGACATGAGAAAGAATTGAATTCCATGCTTTCTCACTATTTTTAAATTCAAATTTGTCACTCCACGCTTATTTTTATATTCTTATTTTCTTGGGTTGTAATAACATCTTCTTACTACCGTATACCATTTATACGTCCGTTATTGCTTTTCAGCAAATTTTTTCACGTTTATTCTACCTTTCCGTACGATAGCATCACTCGCTATTTCGTCTATTACTTTTATTCCATTTTCATGTAATATTATTATTAATAGCTTGTAATTAGCCTATAACTATCTTCGTAAAATGTTATGTTTTTTCCCTTCAAACCTTATGATTGGAATAATTAACATTATAAATAAAACTGAAAGTTTTTAATCACGTTGCAAAAATCAACCGTATTGCTTAATCATTATATTACATTTTAATCAAAGGTATAATATTATATGCAATGTGTTTAAGCTACATGAACAGCAATTATGCTAATAGTATTCAATTATTTGTCATTTTCTATATATTTTGTCTTTATTTTTATAATTTCATTGAAACAAATTTAATTTACTAAAAGAGTTCAATAATAAATAATATTATTAATATAATCTATGAGTTCGTATAAGTATAAGTAATGTAGATTATATGTTAACACAAAATTACACATATATGTTTTTTTTTGTTTTTTCTTTTTTTTGTCAAACACCCAAATGAATTATCCGATATTTACAAAGAGTGAAATTTAAATTATCATTTTATTGTTAAAAATATCAAATATCCATAATTATATAAATACATTGGCTTTGTTGTAGTCTCCCATTGTAGGAAATAACGCAGAGTTTATTAAATAATAACGATAAATCTTTTCTAAATATTATTAATTCATAAAAATAGTATAATGCATCTTATTGTTTAAAAACTAAAATTCACAAACAAGTGATATTCATATAAATCAAATAAGCCAATTTTATATCTATTAATTGAAATATAATTGAGCGAATTTGGATATATTCATATAATTTTTATTATTTTCTCTTTATTATTACTATATATTTTTTATTATTTTTTTTCTTTTTATGAATTTACATGGAGAAACACAAAACTAAGGAAAATTAAAGTTAAGGATGAAGTAAAACAATTTTATGTATGAACTTTCACGAATGTGTAATTAATATGTAAATGTTATATTTATTATCTGGAATTTCGAGAAAATTCAAAAATCAACGGTATACTGTATTAAAAATTTTTTTTTTTTTTTTTTAATTAAATTAATTGATCGATTATTTACTCGTCATAAATAACGTACACGAAATTTTGTAAATACCTAATAGTTATTAATTATTTTACATTTACTATACATTTTCTGCCTTTGATTGTCTGATGGTATAATTATAAAAAGGTTACGTTAATAAAATGTAATTATAGTATTATTTTAATAAGTATATATATAATTCAATTCGTGATTAATTATTAAATTTATAAACAAGCCACTATTATATCATTTCCATATGTTTCCGTACAAAAATTCTTTTTCAAAGGTTTACTAAAAGGTTCAAGTTTAAATTAAAATCAAAATTTTTTATTCTAACTGATTTTATAAATGATTTTGAACATTATAAAAGTATCAAATTATTAATAAAGAAAAAAAATTAAATGAATAAATAAAGCGAATAAGCTATTTGTTAGTATAAATCTTGAACTCTATTGCATGGAATATAGAAATAAATTTTCATATTTGTTACCAATGACTTTTTTTTCTTTTATAAAAAGCAGATAGTGTTATTCTTAAAGAATGTATCGTGAATTAGTTGATAACCACGTGTATTCCATCTAAAGTTTTCAAATCGTGTGTTACCCGTTTCGTGTATCTTTTTTATTTCAAAACATTATTTGAGTATTAGTAAAATTTTAACAAAATTTTCTTTGATTATATACGAGATAGAGAGAGATAGAGAGAGAGAGAGAGAGAAATAGAGAGAGAGAGAAAGAGTGCTCCGCAGATCAAATTCTTTATAAATTAAATCTGATTTTATAATTTTTTGAAAAGTGCATAACAGTGCAATAGAAACAAATTTTACGATACAAATAAATGTTTGCAATAATAAGCATCTGCAAAAATATCGGTGTTTGTAAAAGACGGGTACACTTAATTAATGATTATCATTTAGATAATTCTGAAACGACACCGAGAGAATACATCTAAAATCTAAAATCTTCCGATATACTCGTGATACTTGAAAAATATTTTTCCCCCTTCTATTTTTAATCCTCCATTAGCGAAGTGGTTTATAGCCATTTTGGCTTTGTAAATCCCAAGTGTTATTTATTACTGCTTTTATTAAGCGCTTTGAGTAAGCAGCGAATCGATGAGGAAGATAGCAAGTCAAAAGGCGCACGAATGTCCACGTATCTAAGTGAGCAGCAATAATAAAGTCAAAAGCCCCTTGACACGCTGAAAAAGAACTACGGACTTTCCAGTCGCGATCCGTGAAATTTCCCTCGCGTGCACTAGTGCATTTCACTACGACTCGCGCAACTCGCGCAACTCGCGCACCTCGCCCAGCCCGAGGTCCACGCCGCACGTAAAAGGAGCCCGAGCCAAGAGCCGAAACACTCTCGACGTTCTCTCCGTGGCTCGCACCTCACCTCCAGTCACACGTAGCACTTCACATCCTCGACGCGCAGCAGCCGCTGCTCCAAGCTGGTCGGCATTACTGCCACGGCCTCCGTCCGCGAGGGACTACCCGCGGCTCCCGAGATTACGCCTTCCGCGTCTCTCCCTCCCCTCAGCCACGGATGCGAGCTCAGTCCTATCTTACCGATCTAAAATTACCCCAGAAACGCTGGACGCGCGCTTCTCCCCGCCCGGGTGATCGACTCGACTAATGGCGTCACCAGGAGACAACTTGTCTCCTTTGGACGTGTGGCTGGTTGGCGATTGACGCGGCGGTAATATTAATATACGCCTCTGCCTTATGGAGTTGGCGATTTTTCACGGCCCATCGGCGGCCCCACCTCCTCTCTATTTTCGGGCGTGAGCTTTACGCATGGATTACCGTAGCTCGCCCTCGGGGACACTGCGGCCGATGAAAACGGCGCATATTTCGATGAGATTTTCGGATGATTCGTTGGCTTGGGACGGGGAAGAGGAAGAAAAAAGAAAGTGGAGCAGCGTGACTGTGAGCGCGGAATACTTTGAACTGGTCTCATGCTGTTCGCCGATCGAGAATACTAAATGAGCTTAAAATATCGGGGCAGACACGTTTATTAATAACTTCATTCTTTCTCGCGGCTTTCTTTATTTTTATATAATCTTATTGCACTGGGAAATAGTCTTTTGTGGCTGGATCTCTTCTTCCGTTATCTCGCTTGCACCGATTTTCACCGACATTTTGCCTCAAACCTTTCTATTATGTTTATTAATAGCATTATATCACGTGCAATCATTTTCATAATAATGCTTGAGACTTATTTTTCATTACCGGAGGCTCTTATTATAAAATTTTTCATTCCAAACGGACACGACATTCGTTTCTTATCTTCTTAAGTACGTTCATGTAAATATTTTGTTTCAACATCGATAATGATAATAATAACGATAATAATAATAATAATAATAATAATAATAATAATAATAATAATAATAATAATAATAATAATAATAATAATAATAATAATAATAATAATAACGACAACAATAATAATAATAATGAATAAGCGGTCGTTGATTTCTTCAATACAATACATTGAGAAACTTTTTTGCTAATAATACTTTATTATTTTTATTCATAACTCGTCGAATCCTTCGTATTGCACTGTATCGTAATTATCGGCGAGCACTAAAATTTATTAAAATTTATCTTTTAACGAATGCATACATTTCAGCAAACGTTAATATAAAGTTGATAAATTAATTAATATTGTATAGGTATGTCTATAGGTTCCCGACTTAAAAGCCAATAATATCATTAACTGTTAGATAAAGTTTTTAACTTACGAGTAAAGTTTGAAAAGCTAAACTATTTATTCATTACTTATTACTTATTAATACATTCTTTTTTTTTTTTCTTTTTTCTTTTATTTCCTAATGACCACTGCGTATTCGTTATATGACGAGGAAATAGGAAAACTGTAATTTAAATCATTCCATTTTCTTTCTTCATCATAATGATAAAATTCATACGTCCCAACTTGTTCCAATGAGTTTGTTACGAACATAAGAGAATTCCATTAATGTCTATCGAGTATTAAAGTACACCGTTGTTTGGTTCAAAATATTAGCTCGTCATTCCGTAAATCATTGGAATACATAAATTTTACATTTTGCCAGTTGCATTTATTTATGTGATACTTGGTGGCACTTAGTTTGATGTGCTTTTTTTCTTTTTTTTTTCTCTTTTTTTTTTTTATTTATTTATTAATTCACAGCATTCGTTTAATAACGCGTGTAAAAAGTTTTAAAATTTTCTGAAAAAATTGCGAATGTAGGGACAATATGGATTAGTAACAGTCAATACAAAAGTTTTTAAAGAACATGAAAGCAGCAAATGAATTTTTGAATGAATAATCGAATATTCGTTTAACCGTGCTTGTAATTAATATTAATCGACTATTTAACCAAATGCAAAATTCTTGCCTTGATATAAATAAGTGCCGCTTGAATTTAATCTATTCGATAAATTGACTCAATGAAATACAATTTGCTAATTAACAGAGAATTTCATAAGCTTTTAATAGTATGTCAACGCTAACTAAGATAAAGGCGCAATTCACTTTAATCTGTTTTGCAATATAAAATCACGAAGCTATTAGGTCATGTTAGCTTGAGGAATAGTTTTATTATTATGGGCGAGCCATTTAAAATTTCCTTAAAAATTGCCAATTTTTATGGAAAAAGTCCAATGAAAACGATATTCATGAAATTTGATCTTATGCAAAACTTTGCTCAATAATCATAAATAAGTCGCAATTTTCATGATTTGTAGCTTATGGCTCAAGCATTAATCCGCCAGCCGCCCTCGTATTATTATTCTAAACAACCGAAGAAAAAAGCGTCATTATTCTTAGATTTCACTCATACGGA